AAATGGCCTAATAATTATTTTCTTAAAATGATTCCAAACTGTCATCTTACTCACATTGGGTAAATCTCGAACTGCATCAGATAAACTACTTATAGGATTATTTCGGAAATATTCAATTATAGTGTCCCCCTTTTCATTTGCTCGATGTCCTGAATCTCTTTTTATCGTAGATGAAATATTACCTAAAGAAAATTTGAACTAGTTAAAAAGTACTACAAATTAGAACTTAATTTACCATTGAGATCAAACATACGATATATTCGTGATACAGTGGAAATTGATATTCGTCGGTTTGGATGTTCAGCATTACAAGTTATGACTACTTCTCTGTAACTTCGATCATTTCTGCCTGTTAGTCGAATTATTTGCACTTTTTCATTAATACTTAAGTCCATTTTTATTTTACTAGCAAAATATTTCTCACAAATCAAAGTCGTAATTAAAGCGTTCTAATAGATGTAATGATTTGACATTTCACAATATTATTTGTTTTTCACAGCAACCATGATAAAACAAGAAAAAATAATTTTTTCCGAGTTATAAAAATGATGTCTTTAGAGAAATGACCTAATTTTAAAATGTAATGCTACTCATATTGTTTATTCTTTCGTAACAAGATATTTCAACCTTTTTAAATTGTATTTTACTGTTTTTACTCATTTCTAAAAGCCCCCTTTATTTTCAAACTAAAATAAGAATTTTTAGTTTCTGGGAATTTGAGGCTCTATACAAAAACCTGCAACTTAAATTAATGAAATTTTGGGTATTTGGATTTTAAATGGTGCTGAATAACGCATTGTTGTCAAATTTCTAATAAAAAATCCCTAATACGATTTTCCATAAACATCATTATTAAAAAAATGATTGCATGCCACGAGATAACGCCTTAGAAATATGTCCCATACGTGTGTCTATGCACTCCCTATCAAGAAAAAAAATTACATTAAAATCGCCCCACCCTGTAAAATTCTACACTGGTGTTCCGGATCAAAACTATACACACAGAAGGTTGTAAATGATCCAAAGAAATGTATCGAAAAGGAAAAATTTCAAAAAGTTGAAATTAAGTTGATCTGCACAACTAACAAAGTATAGGGTCAGGAATAATCCGCTCGGGAATTCGCTCCTTTTGCATTAAATAGAGCTTATTCTTACGGTAATTAAAAAGAGAAATCACCTACGCCTCTTTGTTCTCAAGATAGTTTTTTTATAACGTTAATTGTTAATTAACTATTGGACATATCGGACGGGGATTTTGAGGACATTTAAGGAAATGGTTAAACTTTTATTTTATTTTTTTGAGCATTTTTCGAAAACTGATTTTACTCCGTTTGATTTTATTTTACAGCTAACAAATTGATGAAATATGACTTTAGATACCTTAAATTGTAGGTATTTTAATTGCCTACAACATATAATAACTAATTTTCCGATAGGTGCTAATTTTAACACCTCTAATTTGACTGGACTATTTATTATATGTAGGACATTAATAATTTTAATAATACATTAGCGTCAAATTTTCAATGAAACATAATGAAATTAACCTTTGACGCGAAAACTGAATTCTATTTTAAGTAAATAACCATTCCACCATTGATGTAGTCTCAAGGATAATTCATCCTTATGTTTCGTTATATTTTTAGTGACGTCGCTACGTGGGGGATTGGGTATAATCAACGCTAACAGAGCTGTTTACAAACAGTCGGTGAAGTGTCATAGGGTGTAATCATTGTGTGTACTTATGGAATAAAAATAAACACAATGTCCTTTTGTTACAGATCGACTGATATGGGAAAAACCAGTCGATGTTGTATCTTATTTACATCTTTTCTCTGAAACAGAAAACATAGTTTTCATCGATTGTTGTGATTTTTCATTATTTTCGCATTTTGAACAATTGTTGTAAATACGTAACGTTAATTTTCGTTTCTTGTTTAGTTGTTGTTGCTTGGTAAATGTATTTTTATTATTATTATTTTGATTTAAATTGTTCTTGTTTATAAAAATAGTGGATTAGGCCTCCAGAGGAAACTAAAATACACTAGGAACACTATCTCACAGGTGATGTGGAAATAATGTTGATGATCTACTTACAAATTGCACTTACTTTTAAGCATAAACATACATGTTCTTGTAATATTATGGTTTGAAGTGTCTGCCACAAGGGGTTTGTATTGGTATGAATAACTTGAGAACGGCGAATCTTAGGGAAAAAATTCAAGTTACCTTTTTTACGTATTTAGTGCATTAGAATATAAATCCGTTAAAATACAGTGGTGTAGGTTTTTTTTTATAAAAATACGGCGACCCCTGTCCAGTTGTACACCACTGGTTGAACCATTAGAGCTCATATTTTAGGGAATGCAAGACCTACTGTCATACATTATCTGTACCAAATTTTATTGAGATCGGTTAATTGATTCTGAAGATATAAACAAAAATTCAATTTATTTTAACAACTTCAACACCCTGTATCTCTAAAACGAGGCCGTTCCAGGCCTAGGTTTATAAGGCAAACTCCTATTATTTTAAAGAGATCTATCTGTCCTCGAAGTTTCCTGCATAAAATTCGGACCACCCTGTATATGCTTGTTTTAAGCTTTTAAATATTTTTATATATTAAGTTTTGAGCTTCTTTTCGAATTATTGATTGATCTTTCGAGACGAGACATTTTCAAACACTATACAAACAATTTAGACAAAAGTTCACGTCGATTAAACATCTAAAGTCAATACGGTAGCAATAACAAACCAGCACGGCTGGCATGGCTTTCTTTACATTTTGTTTTCAATAATTCGACTTCAAAATGTTTGGTATGAGATTTAATTTTATTTACAATTTAAGTGTGAAATTGTATAGGATATTTTTTTCTTGTGAGGTACTGCAAATAAATAGTTGGTAACAATAAAAAATACTTTGTCGGGGTATAGGTAAGCTAATTTTTATGTACCATCTGAAACAATATCAGAGTTAATTTTTGGTCAACCCCGTATAGCAGGTAAAAACTTATTGTTAGTGCCACTGATTAAGACATTTGCTGCCTAAATACATGCCTAAATATACATATATTTTTAAAATACATTAGTCCCTGGCGCCTTCGCCATATACTCTAATTTATAAGGTAAGTAAATCAAAAAGCCTTTCCCAAAATACCACTTAATTTCCACTTCGTACAACTTGACCGGAACGAATGTGCTTTTGTTAGTTTATATCGTACTCCCACTCAGAATGGTTTCTCTTCGTAAGTATCAAGACACTTGGCTAGAGCAATGTCCTTTTACTCCAAAAGAAATATATTTTTCATGGATTCATTGCCACGAGACTAAAATAACAACGTGGGCTCTACAAAACTTTCCTATAAAGGTCTAGATTTGTTTACAGCAACTCACATTCTGTCACTTACATTAGATATGTTATACCACCATTTTTACTTCAATTAAAAAAAATGGAACAGAAATAACTGTTATGTTTGCAATAACAGCCAACCGTAAAAAACACCGCGCTTTGGTTGTTTGTTTACCCGACTTTTTCCTGAGTTGTACAATGGAGGTTTGTTGCTTTATTTAATAAGTTTTTGAAATATGTACATATTTCAAATATGTCGAATGGCGTATTTTCCCTCGATTAGAATGAATTCAGCCAAATAAAGGCAGTATCTTGTAGATATCAGCATCGATTTATAATTCTTTAGGGAAGGTACAAAAGAATTGAGAAGATATGCAAATAATAAGTACTAAAAAAGGCCTTTATTAAGACTTTTTTGACAACTATTACGAAATACCTTGTGCATCACAATAATGAAATGCTATCATTTTACGGTGAATGTTACCAAAACGCTGTAGACGCATCTCATCACATTTTCCGATGATTGTCGGCGAGATGTTGATGTTGCGATAGTTTGATTTTGTTAATCGTTACTAGGCAAAATACAGTAATGTATCGTTTTACATTTTAAACAATTTAACAGATTATACAGGGCGATTCACAACTTATCCAAAAATATTTGGGAGTAGATGGGTCATGAAAAATGGAGTTTTAATATATAAAAAATGTTGTAAAATCTTTATAGTTTCCGAGAAAAAGTTATTGAAGTTGTACTATTTTCAACCTTTACATCGCTGTGTTACTGTAGCCCTAGCGTCATTCGCCCACGTCGCCCCAGACGATTTCAAATACTGAAATCCGATTTTAACATTATCGTTGTTGCGATAGTGTTTACATTAGTTTTTCAACTGTCATAATTGGCTTACGTGTATAGCAATTGTCCTTATTGATTTTTTAGAAAATTGTGTTTGTAAGAGTGCGTATTGAAAAAATTTTTTAAAATAAATTCTGAATCACCCTGTTGCTTTTGCTTTTTTGCTTGTGCTGTAAAATTTTGCTTTTTGTAAAATACGTGATTTTCAGTTAGTTCTAAGCAAAATATGATATTTTTTACTTTACTGTATAGGTTTCAGCTAATTCAAACAAATTTAAAGTAAAATAAGCCATACCGCTAAATATTCATCAAAATAGATGATGTGGCTTACTTTGTCAAAAGATTACTGACCCACATGGTGCTTTGTTGTTGTCAATGTTTTAATATAAGATATATAGAAATGAGCGCATTTTTTTTTAGATCGGCCGCTAACTTCAATTGTTTTTTTCTTGAAAAGGAACGAGATATTACCAGTAATATGCTTTTGTGTACAATGATACATTATAATACAATATGTACAGGAGAATTCAGAGAGAAAATAATAAAAACAAAAAATTTACTCGACCTTTTAAAAAATAAACAAATTACCCCTTAACTCGGCGCCCCCCTTTGCATCACATTTTCTGACTGGGAAAAATCCGACGCACCACAGAGCTTTCGAATATTGAAGCGAAACAGCTGATTTCCCCAGTCGTCTTACAGCTGGTTGATTGACAAACAAATGACAAAAAAACTCCTCATCCTTTCTTTTCATTTTGGTCAGAAAAAGTAAAAACTCGACATTTAAGACATACATATTTATTTTTTCTAAATACATACAGTAAAAAATGTACACTTTTGGCTTACATACTGACATTAGTTTGACTCCTGTATGTCATCGGGAGAGCAGGACCTCAGTTCCTGACTGTTTTAAAAAAACAAAAAAGAAATTTTGGTCATCACGCTATCTCAAACATCTGAATTTATGGTAAAGCACACACTTGTACGATTTATACTAAAAAATGTATACATGCAATTGTGCAGTCAGTCATACTGTTACGAAATGGAGGAAGTGGAATAAAATAGGAATGAATGATTCAGCAATATACAGCAGGGTCAATCTAGGGGCAAAACTGTCTTCGAGGCCAAGATATGTACACAGCTATTTCAGGGATAACAGCTCTATTCTAACTGCTTTATTTACTTAACTAGTAGCTGGTGTTGAGGTGTCCCTAACTCTATTGGAATCGTCTATGGTCTTCAGGAGGCCAATGATTTCTTCTGCGACAGTGTACATTGCTTCCACAGTCTAAAAACAACAAAAAAATTTACTATATACAGTATGTTTACGGTTAGAATAAAAAAAAATTTACATTTTACGAAAAAAAGCACAGATCATAAAAAGTGTATGTATTTAAATTAAATTGAAAGGTATGAAAATGTAATAAAAAGTAAACTGTTTTCACTTTCACTCTTTCGAAAAAGTTGTACGGAATTAAAAGTTGTTCGGAAAAAATGTATTTGTAGCAAAACTTTGTGCATGTACAAACATTACAACCAATGTTGGAGTGAACAAAAGGAAAACCATTTTTGTTTTACATTTTTCGGAAATAAACAGATGTTTCTGCTGCGTTTATAACTCATTAAAATCAGCCAAAAAGTTCCTATTAACATGTGCCCTAGAACGCACCCTTAGGAATTTATATACCCTTAAAAGGGCTCAAACAAAACAGGTTTTTTTCAAATAAATTGCAGTTATGAAGAATCCAATCATTTAATAAATAAATTAAGCACTGCAAAGCTCAATTGACAGTTTATCAATAACTTAAATTATTAAGCGTTGTGGCAACGTCAGTCTTTTATTTGCAATGGTAAACAGATTTCTGTAATTTTTGGCCTAATAACATAAAGAGCAGAGTAATTTTCAAACTCAATTTACTCGAAAACCATTGGAAATATCGATTTGGACAAAGATAATATTTTTTACGTAAAATTGTTAAGATTTTATAAATCTGTAGAGAAAATTGTAAAAAATTTAAATAAAAAAAATTACGGGCCGAACACCCCCTTCACCAACCTAAATGGGACGCATATGATTTGCATGTCGAAAAACGGAGTAGCCCATGTTATTTAATGTAAAAAGTTATGTAAGACCCATAAATTTTTTTCTATTTATTTACGACCGTTTTGTCAATAACAGAAAAAAAAACAGTTTTATTTGAGCCATTTTAAGGGCATATAACTTCCTAAGGGTGCGTTTTAGGGCACATGTTAATAGGAACTTTTAGGCTTATTTTAATGAGTTATAAACGCAGCAGAAGTTTGGAACCCTATTTTAGAAACACCCTATATTTCGAGCTTCTCATTTCAAATTTTTAATTTGCCACCTCGTATCTTTGTCGCCGGCGCCGCCATATTGTAATAAATTAGGAAAAAATAGATTTTTTAAGATATTTCGTTACTAGTTGCTTTTACAGCAAAAATATATTAAAGACCAGGAAATTTGCTACAAAATAGGTTCTAACCATTTCTTTCATAAAACCGATCTGTTTTGGATAGGAGACTAACAAAAGTCACCATTTATCGTGCAGTGAAAAGTAATACCCATTTCCACACCACCAGAGTATATGGCGCGTCTTTTTTCTGTGGTTTTCCCAGTAGGCCTAATCTAATGGATAAACGAAAACTGCAATAACTTCTTTCGCTTTGTTACCCCTGAAGGACCAGCTTTATGTTTTTGATAGTGCAAGGCAACGAAGTTTTAGAGTCGTGTGATATCAATTCTCCACTACTTTCTGTATTTCATTATACAGTGGTTCTAAGATCATATCAGCGTCTTCATCATCACTATCTTCCAATGCTTCAGGCATTGTCACATCTATTGTCACAGGTTGAGCAAATTATAGAACAGTTGAGCCCTGTTTTCCTACATCCACATGCTCCCCGACAACCTATCTTGCATTTACAAGAAATTAGTTTAAGAAGAACTTCTGGAGCAGAGGCTTAGAGTGTAGTTAGAAGGATAAGATTTGTGTCATTCTTCCCCATTGATCTGCAGGTTTTTCGTTACCAATCCATTGCTGTGCCTGATAATACGTTCGAAACGAATGTCGTCTTGCTGCTGCTTCTGTAGGAGGCAATGAAGCGATGTTAAATTTATTCCTGGATGCTATTTTATGAATTTTATGAATTGGTGTCTATAAGTGTTCAGAGGTGTAAATTCCTTTTTATTATAGTCGTAAAGTCTGAGAAGAAAGTATTCTCCAGCTTTAGCTACACTTTCTTTGCCAGCATTTTTTTCTTTAAATACTTTTATAACTTCGTGAAGATTAAGGTTTTTTGCAACACATTAAGAAATTTCAGCTTGCTCTGATTGAAAAGAGTCGACGCACACTCGGATTTTTGAAGGCTTTTTTTTTCAAAATTCTAGAAGATGGCCAGATTTCAGCCGATCTTCATACATTTTTTTTAAATACTCGTAAAGACTTGTACTTTCATGCCCAAGTGCTATAAATTTGATTTGGGTCATATCGACTGGTTTATAAGATTAGGTTGCCAAATTTCAATTTTTTTTGTATTTTCAGAGAATAAAACGTTGGATATTAAGGGTGAGAGAGCAGTAGGGCTAATGTTTTGGGGGGGATATACCAACTGAAGATCTGAGATGGTATCCGTTTGATTTGGGTCATACTGATTGAGTTTTAAAAGATTAAGTTGCTGATTTCCGTTATTCCAGAGAGTAAACGTTGAATATCTCAGATCTTCAGTAGGTATATCTTCCCCTCAGAAAATTACCCCTACTACTGTCTCACCCTTAGTATTCAACGTTTTATTCTCTGAAAATACAAACAAAATTAAATTTGGCAACCTAACTTCTCAAAACTCAATCGGTATGACCAAAATCAAATTTATAGCACTTGGGCATGAAAGTACAAGTCTTTACGAGTATTTTAGAAAAAAATGCATGAAGATCGGATGAAATCTGGCCATCTTCTGGAATTTTGAAATGAACTTTAAAAAAATCCCAGTGTGCGACGTAGTCAACTATTGCATCCGAGTGGTAGGCTAAACACATTAAATGCGTATTGTTTTACACGTTACTACTTAGTAAATTTTGTAATTCTCGTACGTGAAAACGATTAGTTTTATGAAAAAAATGAGAGAGGCCCATTTTGTAGAAAAAATTGTGTAATTGAATTTAATACAGAATCCTTTTTGTTGTAAAATCAACCAGATGTATATACAAAAATTGGTTTCAGGTCACTTTTTTTTCTTTGAATAGCGGCGCCAGCGGCAAAGATACGAGGTAGCAAAATAAAAAATTGGAAAAAACAGCTCAAAGGGTGGGCCCATTAGTGTGAGAAAGTAAAATAACTCCGTTGTTATTCCTAATACAACAAAAGTTTATATAAAAGTTGTACAGAATCAAAAACCAAAAGGACAACATTAATTTGAAAGACACAGGGCGATGAGTAAAAACGGGACACGCCAAATATTACATTTTTTAAATGGAACACCCTATATGTTTTTAAACATGGATTTCTGAGAAAATTCTATATATGACAATATAAACATTTTAACATTTTAGTGCTGGGTTGCCAAGTTATGTAGAAAACTCTTCGAATTTTGGAAAAAATGACCTCGAAGAAGTTGTATTAACTTTCAACTACTAACACTTGGAACAAAAATATTTGACAGAGTTATAGGCAAATGTTAGACAAAGGCTCCTATATTAGCTAATATCGATATTTTATATAGGACATTTTTTATAATACGATCATTTTAAGAAAGTTCAAACTTGATTTTCTAAAATTTTTCAATTGGAACACCCTGTATGTATGTTCTACACCTAAAGTTGTTAGTTTTTAGAACATATAGCAACATTTCTGCAAAAACCTAATTTATTATTCGGTGATGCGAAATGGCTTTGGAAAAAAAACTGTCACATTGTGTCAACTTGTCAGTTCATAATTTATCATTCCATTTTGAGTTAATTTTATTAGTTAATATTTATTTGTGGTATTTTATAAAATAATAAAAATTAAGTTTTTTTAGAAATGTATGTATCTTAAAAACTAACAATTTTAGATATAGAACATGCTTAATAAAAGTTGAAGTGGACCGATATGTGAATAAAATACAGGATGCTCCATTTGAAAAATTTTAGAAAATCAATTTTAAACTTGCTAAAAATTATAGTATTATAAAAAATGCCCTGTATAAAATATCGATATTGGCTAATATAGGAACCTTTGTCTAACATTTGCGTATAACTGTCTAATTATTTTGTTCCAAGTGTTAGTAGCTGAAAGTTAATACAACTTCTTCGAGGTCATGTTTTTTCCAAAATTTAAAGAACTTTCTACATAACTTGGCAACACCGCACTAAAATGATAAACTGTTTATATTGCCATATATAAAACTTTCTCGGAAATCCATATGTGTAAAAATATACAGGGTATTACATTTAAAAAATGTAATATATGACTTGTCCCGTTTTTACTCATCACCCTGTGTGTATCAAATTAATTTTGTAGTTTAGGGAGTTATTTTACTTTCTCACACTAAGGGCCCACCCTGTATAATCACCAAATATCAAAACTTCCGCAAATTTTTCCAGGTAAATTCCAGGTTACTGGACAGATACATACAGATTTGAAAGGAAATTATGGTCTACCTCCTCTAAAAATATGGACTGTACAGCCTCCCTTAGACATTGTTTTATCTAATCGATGTTACTGTCCAAATGATCCAAAATAGAAATCTTGAGGATCACTTGGAAATGATACTTCACAAAAGTCAAGATATGTTAAGTTACGTATAGTTTTACGTAATTGTTAATGATATTGTATACAATTTGAGGAATTTTTTATATGTTGCAGCGATTCTGCATAATATAGCCGAATAATTAGTTTCACATCGGAATGTACGCCCCACGTTACACAAATAGTTGTGGTTGCATTTAATTAAATTGTGACGGCGTGCAATCTGTCTGAGGCTCTGATTATTTGCGTGGTGATTCGAATGTCACTGCAGCATTACGTCGAAACGAATGTAAAATTAAAACCGATAAGAGTTTTGAACAGAAGTGGGCAGTGGTACGCCGATGATATTAAAATCTATAATTATTTATCTACAGTATGTCCACAGAAAAGGTGTTGAATAGTAAAAACTTTCTTATTTTTCATTTTATCGATAAAAGTTACTCTTTATAAAAAATTTTGCTTGTTCTTAAAGTGAGATTGAAATAGAAAAAATTAACATTTATTGTACGGGGTGTCCAAGAAATTGAAGAAACTTTAAATGGTACAAGAGTAAAGTGCACTTATTTGTGAAGATGTGGAAATAAGTAACTGGGAACAGTTGTTCAAAAGTGAGAGGCAGTCTCTAATACCTATTTTCGAAAAAATCGGCCTACTTTTATTTATTTGTAATCATTAAATTTATTTTATACAAATTAAATTATCCCAAATGGAAATGTCCCACTTAATATTCGAAGAAATATTGTTTTCCAGCGTGATGGTACACCAGCATACTTTTGATTAAATTGCCTTAAATTATCTAAGTGCACAATTTCCAAATTGATGGATCGGAAGAGGGGGGCGATTTCTTGGCCTGCACGTTCACCAGATGTGACTCCAGTTGGTTTTTGTATTTAGGGTCATATTAAATCACTAGTTTATGAGACACCTGTTAATTCAGAAGAAGAGTTAGTGGCTCAAATTATTCTAGCGTTTAATGATATTTGTGAATTTATTTTAATACCGAGAAATTTCCGGAGGCTAGTTTATTAATAAAAAACGTTTATTTAAGTGACCTCTATCATTTCTGAAAATTAGGGATAGTTATTCTGTGACACCCTAATACAACTCAACAAAAAAAACCTAAGTCTCTAATAGCATAACAACAAAATTATTATAAATACAGAAAGTATAAAATTCTTTACAGCATAAAGATTATTAACGGGTAAATTAGTGCTAATATTGCACCAGCCTCTGTTGGGTGCCTTGTTTTACTTTAGTCTGGAGGTTTGTTATTATCATAAAAACGCATAACCAGTTCTAGTTATGTAATATATATTTTTTAATGGTCTGAAAACGATTTTAATAAAAACCCAGGAGACCTCTAATCTGATTGTAATTCCGTCTGTTTATAAATTCAATAAAATATTCAGTTAGTTCATTATTTACATATTGCTGAAAAAATTAATAGCGAAAAATTCCAATATGCCAGACAGTACAGAAAATCACGTACGGATTCAATTTTGCGATTAAATCTAAAAACAGAATTGATTCTTTATTTCACTGCAGATTTGTCTAACTGTATTACCATGATTAAAACTGTTACATGGGTGTTTCATATTATACGATCTGCTGTTGTGACAGTTCAACCGATGAAGGCTTTATTTTATTTTCCAGCCATGACGCGGGATAGTTTTATCGCATTTAAGTCAATTTTCATATTATCCTTTCCGGAACATCGCCGGAATATTAAAATAGATCTGTCATTCGAGTCAGCGGTGTCAACTGTAACGGATGTTATGCTTAGTTTAAGGTGTGAAATAGAAACAAGTATTTTTGTTGTACATGAAAGAGAAATAAATAAAAGTATAAAACCCCATCGGTATTAAAGTTTCTGAAGAAAACTTCAATCATCAGGTGTGCAAAATTATCCAAAGGGATAAAAGGTTTCAATCATTTAGACATTATGTCGTAAATAATTTATAAAAACATAAATTTCATGAATCTCTATCGCTTCTCACCTCACAGTTCATCAGTTCCTTCACCATGGGGTTCTCATACTTGATCTTATCGAATTCTTCAGGAGACAGCATGTATCCCCTTTCGATGTCTTCTTCTTCGGAAGACTGGAGGTACTCGTTGTATGGTACGCACATCCTCTCGCCTTGCTTCCTGAAGACATGACCTCTCTCTATCGACAGACCGGATGGAGGATCTGGAGTGTCATCCCAGTACAGGTAGATGGGTATCTTCACCTTCCGGATCCTTATCTACGGAAAAACACAAGACGTTTAGAAACAATAAATATTTGTTAATAAAAGAAGTTAATTCATCAACATTTTTCATTTGTACCTTGGCTCTTCTTTCTGCTATTATCTTGTTACACTGGTTCTCAATCAACATCACGGGGTGTTGCGCCATCTCTGGGGGAGCTTGGTTTATGGGTATCTTCCCAGTTAGAACCAAATTCTTCACCCTTTCCATCTCTTCATTCTGCAAGTGTCATGAATTTATGAACTAGCTACAGAGAATAATACCAAGATTGTACAGAAGGCGATTGAATTGTAAGTAATTTGTTGATTTGTTTTCATTTTTTAAGACCGACTGTCTCAGATGCAAACTTATTTGAATATCTGAAGATCTTTTCTTTTAAATCCTTTTAAAAATATTTAGAAATACATGATGCTGTTGTCGTAATAAGGTCAGTCCTCAGCCTAATATGGATATCTGTGTGTATGTAAACATGTCAAGGACTGTTGTGGCACTGTTCGCAAGAGAATAGAAGCGTAATTAGAGAAAACGTATTGAATTAATGTGTTTTTAATTACTAATACACTGTTATTGTGCCTGATATATGGAATTGCGACATTACTTTAATTATCTCATTAGGTTCCATGCAGCAGTAATAGAAATTGGAGAAAATATGGGTTGAGCAGTATGTAGGGGTGTGACAGAGATTGTATGAGAGAGAAGTGACGATATACATGTGTTATTGTTTCAGTATTTTATCTGTTGTACCTGGAAATTGTTAATAACGTTTCTAGCTGTTTCGTGTTTATTTTTCAATTTGCTTTGGAAAAAACTAGAAACTATATCCATTTCTCTCACGTTTGATAAATCTACAGGGTGTTTCTGAAATAAGTGCGTTATTTGAATAGAGAGCACGAACATAAGCAACTTTCATTAAGCAACTGATGGTATAAAATGCCTGAACCTTTTATACATGAAAGGGTTGTAATAATTGGTCCCGTACTACACGCTACACGGTACTGTTAGATACATCCACTTCTCAGCCAATGTGACGAGTAACACTGCAACACACGACGCACGTGCACAATATGCACAGGGTCGCTTACATTTATGGTTAATTTTCTTAACTAACTTTCTCAGAAAGAAGAAGCATTTAGACCATCAATTACTTAATAAAAGTTGCTCATTTTCGTGAGCTCTATCAATCTTTTCACGGAACGTACTTATTTCAGAAACACCCTGTATATCTCAATATCTCGACAAATAATAACGGATTTCCCAGTGGACACAAGCACAGGCTGTATGCTTATCCCATTTGTTACAGGGCTGTTAATTTCCAAATATTTACAGGCCCTCTCAAGATATATTTGCACTCCGTTCGACGATGGGGGCAGATCTATGCCAATAAATTTGACCCTAACATCAAATTATAATTAGAACGTAGCCCTTGTATCAAGGATGTATCCAAATACGTGGGCGATTCTATGGTAAAGGGCGTGTAATTCTGCTAAAATTAGTTTTGATTTTCTTCTCGTTTAAAAATTATACGCCTAGAAATAAATCAGAGATGATCTTAATCTTTAAAAGTTGGTATGACATCAATATCTGACGGAATGGCACGTAATTAAAAGGAAATACTGAATAAAAAAGCACATTTTTCGTTGACTGACAGGAAGACACTTTTCCCATACATTTTTCTTTAAATTCGAGGAGATCCCGTACACAAAGTGTCTCCCACATCACGTCTCTGATTCCAATCAACAGTGACAGGCACTACGTGCATGTTACTCTGCAAATTCCAGTCGTGCATTGTTCACTTGGTCACGGCCAATAAAGGATGTCATAGGCTTCTGTCTGGATCTGTAACTATTATGCCTTCCACGTACATAAATTTAACCGTTGCCATGTTATTTTCTGGAGGTTTGAAATATATATCACATGAACGTATGCCGGCATAGGTGTTAAAATTAATGTTATACCTTGTGGGTGGTACAATGCAGACACGCGGTAAAGCAAGGTGGGCAGAAACATGAAAATATGTCTAGCACGTGTTTACTGCAACAGCCACAACAATTGCGGATTGCTCTTCCTATATTAAAATGTCAAAATTAATAAGCGTACCAATATTAAAGAATACAGTTTCGAAGGTGGAACATAAAAGAAATGTATTATTATAAATAGATCATGTACATGGTGTCCCAAAAAGACCCGAACCTCCTTGATGTAGGATGTCATAAAATCAAAATGCCGGTGACTTTGAATTTGATCTTACTTAAGTTTCAAGGTCAAGGCAAGGTAAATTTGAAAATATTTAATTATAGTCCACGGGCCCATGTACAAAGAAAAAAATGATTACCAGCAAGCTGTAACTTTGCGTGCAGCTTAAGTTTGACGAGTCTCCCAAGATTTGACTACGAGGAAAATTCAACAGTGGTAAGTTTTCCCGTGATTTTCAGGAAAACATGTCAATCTGGCATAGACATGGAATGTTATGACCAGCACTTTTTTTTAAATTTAAATGAAAGATATATTTTTTTTAAACCCCCCAAAAAATTTGTCCGACAAAAATGTTGGTATTTTGAGTTTGTCTCCCACCCCAAATATGTCGATTTGGTGACATTATGGTTGGTGACAACCAGCAAGCTGATTTTTCTGGGAAGGTTTGGTAATAAGATTTGAAATGAAAGTATCTTATTTTCCGACAAAATTCTTGAGAAGTTTTTGCAGTCCGACGCCCCGAAGATGACAGCAAGGTTGGTGACAACCAGCTGTCGGACAAAAGCGTCATTATTTAAAAAAATGCAACATTAATCTGAGAATTTAATTGTCCGACAAAATTATCGTTTTTTTTTTGCTTGTCCGACAAAATTAAACTATAAAATTTTTGGGTTTCAATACTTACGCATGATGTAGAAAAAAAAATTATATTTAATCAAAAAAATACGTGAATAAAAAAATTTTGTTTAAATTTCTCAAATTTCAAAATAAATATGACTAATTTAAATTTATCTTTTTATACAATTACAAAAAAATTGAATACAGGGTGGTCCCGAGTTAATAGGTCAAAATTCTTGGGTAGATTCTCGAAGCAAAAATATTGCGATTGAGCCGAACTTACCTTAGTCCAAAAGTTGATAGTTAAAGATATACAGAGTGTTAAATGTAAAATATTATTTTAGTTTTTTTTCATTTATTCCTTAACAAATGCAAATATCCTCACAAAATTTTGAGGTTTGGAGTTCTTTAAGTAGAGGAATTGAAATATGTTCACATTTTGGTTAAAGTTCATAGAGGGCGCTAGCTGCACTAGATTGAATGTTTTAAAAATGACATAACCTTTTTATACTTTAAGGTATCTCATCTTTGGTATCAAATTCTTATTTTCCAACTTTTTTTACACAAAAAAGCTACACTTTATAAAACTAGCTGTCTCGCACCGTTTTTGAGATATTTGGCTTTGAAACTTCCAATGCTGTTGATTTAAATTACAATGAAGTACCTACCTATTATTAATTTAGCGGTGAAGTTTCTTAAGTTTGGACGAAAATCAAATAATTGACATATTCCGCTTGTCTTATTGCTGTCATTTGTATGCTACTGTCCATTAAGTATTATTCGTACCTAAAATTACATCTTTTGTATGTACATAAATATGAGATGGAATGCCGAGACTTCCGTTTTTGGGGTTACAGAGAAACTATAAACACCTGTTAAGAACTTTGGCAGCAGGTTTTAAATGCTGCAAAGTCATATCGCATTAAGGATTTGTACTTTACAACAAGACAATCTTTTAATAAACGCCTTAATAAATGTATAATAATATTTTTTAAATTGGTTTAAAATTGATTTAACTGTTTTTTTCAAGAACAAAACTATGTGTAAACTGTTTGTCAAAACAAGATTGCAAATTTTAATTTAAAAAAAACACAAGCAAAAATTTATACATTCATTGTAAAGTTACCATTTTTTATAAAATAGTTACAATAGTTTATAAAATAAAATGTACATATAAGTTTTTTGAACAAAGAAATCATTTTGATGGAGATTAATTAAATCAGTTAGACATAATTATTTATGAATTTCAATTTCTGTTGCTCCTGCTAACAAGATAATTTTCTTATTAATTCTTCTTTATTTTTTCATTAAAAAATTAATTATTTTATAGACGAATGAACATTAGGTACTACAAAAATAGTTATTTTTCCCATTTTTAAGGCAAATTAATAAGTATATTATTATGTTGCACATTTCAATTATTAGAGAAAAAAATCAAAACCAGATTGCTGGTTATCACCAACCATGTTGTCGTTAAGTCGACATCTTCGGGGCGTCGGACTGCAAAAACTTCTCAAGAATTTTGTCGGACAATAAGACACATTCATTTCAAATCTTATTACCAAACCCTCCCAGAAAAATCAGCTTGCTGGTTGTCACCAACCANATGTAAAATATTATTTTAGTTTTTTTTCATTTATTCCTTAACAAATGCAAATATCCTCACAAAATTTTGAGGTTTGGAGTTCTTTAAGTAGAGGAATTGAAATATGTTCACATTTTGGTTAAAGTTCATAGAGGACGCTAGCTGCACTAGATTGAATGTGTTAAAAATGACATAACTTTTTATACTTTCTCATCTTTGGTATCAAATTCTTATTTTCCAAGTTTTTTACACAAAAAAGCTACACTTTATAAAACTAGCTGTCTCGCACCGTTTTCGAGATATTTGGCTTTGAAACTTCCAATGCTGTTGATTTAAATTACAATTAAGTACCTACAGGTTTCTTAAGTTTGGACGAAAATCAAATAATTAACATATTCCACTTGTCTTATTGCCGTCATTTATATGCTACTGTCCATTAAGTATTATTCATACCTAAAATTACATCTTAATTTAAATTGTATGTACATAAATATGAGATGGAATGCTGAGACTTCCGTTTTTGGGGTTACAAATCAATTGTTTATGGAGAAACTATAAACACCTGTTAAGAACTTTGGCAGCAGGTTTTAAATGCTGCAAAGTCATTTCGCATTAAGGATTTATACTTTACAACAAGNCTCTAAATAACTCGGCAAATACATTTTCTATAAAATTTGTAGAAATTTGAATGAAAAATTTGGATTTGATATAAAGCTGATTAAATATCAACCTCCACAATAGTTTCTTATTTATGTGCTACATTCCAAAATTGTGGTCAAAATAATTCTAATTCCAATGTGTCTATCAAACTCTATTACACTTATATTCATTATTTTATGACGAAAAATGAGTTTGACCTTCAAATAATTTGCAAGGACATCCTGAAAAAATGTTTTGATCACAGATTCTGATATGAAATTTGGCACTGCATTCGTTGCTGGCAGAAAAACTTTCGTATTCCGTTCGATATTAAATTGACATTAGTGTGACCTTGCAAGTTGATGAAAAGCAAATCTAAGGTCACCATCTACTTTGTCAAAATCTTATAAATTTGTCTTGAAACGTTTTCTTCCACAATGTTCAGTTATAAAGAGAAAAATTAGTTTGTTCTCCAAATAACTTGCAAAGACATATCGGAAACCTTTTCTGACCCTATATTCGGAAGTAAAATTTGGCGCTCTATGGATTGCTGACATAAAAAGATAAGGTAATCTATTTTCAGGTTGACCTTGGTTTGATCTTGAATCTTAAGGTGAAGGTTAAATTCAAGGTCACCATAATATTGGTTTTGATCTGACATTTTTTTATAGAACTAAATCTTAAAAAGTAAATGGAGAATTTTCGGGACACCCTGTATATTTCTAGAAAGGTACGCTCGTACTCGAAATGTTCAAAAGTAAGTCATATCCAACCTTCTTCAGCTTCATTGATTCATTTTGAATGTAGAGGGTGTCTCAAACTCGATAGTATGGGCCTACTACGAGGATACAAAAAATTTAAATAATATTTGGGACCCTTGGTGTTAAATGGGATGAGGTAAGCTCCATTTTCAATCGAAAGTAACTTTGGGATTTCACAAGAACGACTAATGACGTCATCAATTACATTTTTTCCAGAAACATACCCAAACTTTTTTCCTGTTAAAAAGCTCTCTTTTTTCTAATAAACTTTTATTAGAGAAATTTTTCTGTATTACTTCTACATGGCCTCCTTTCATTTCAAGACACATATCTAATCTTCGTCTGATTTCTTTGTGGGCTGCGTTTATTAACATTTTGCCGTTTAACTCATTACAAGCGTTTGTGATTTTGAAAAAATCGAGGGGTGTTAGATCTGGTGAATTTCCCGGCCGCTGAATAGGTCCATTAAGACCAATTCATTTTTCTGGGAAAGTGTTATCTAAATATTGCTGCACAATCCTGGTCTTGTGGGGCGGAGCCCCGTCTTGATGAAATCATAGGTTTTTTGATCCTCACAGTAGGCCCATACTGTCGTGTTTGAGATACCTTGTACTTTACTGAAGTTTAATCTAGATTTTCAAGAACAGAACTATGTGTCCACCTTGCTTCCTGGTTATATTGAACCTTCCTTATCTATCTCTACATGAAATGAAATAAATTACTGACATTGTGACCAATTTTTTTACCGAATGAGAATAAAATACGATATCACATGACACTACCCATCAAAAACATTTTTAAGGGAGTAGGTATATACAAGGCTGATACGTTAATAATATGTTTACCTAGGAGACCCTCCTTCTTTATTGGGACCGCTGTTGTTGACGGCTGACTGCAGGAGGTTTTGATTCATTACCGTCAACATCAATTCCAGAATGTAGATCCTTTAAGAAACTTAAGGATAACCCTAGCTTTGCGAAGAGGTAGATATGTCTGACCCCATATCATCGGCAGATGAAATGTCAGCTGGCGGAGAACGGTTCTTTACTATTTCTGGTGGGAAAGGACATATAAGCCTACACAGCAAGGCATCAGACTTACACGAAATCTGTGGTTTGATCAAAGTTGTGCATCAAATTATACAGGGTGCCCTAAAAAACATTCCCCAACGGCCAGTCATATACAGTACAGCCAAAAGTAAATAATCAGGAAAGTCATCTATACAAAAATTTCGAAAAACGACGTCTAAGAAAGTTGCGATTCCATTAAGAATGAATGATAAGTGTCCGGTGAAACGTCAAAATGTAATAACTGTCAATTATTTGCATTTTGTAGCACCTAACACTACGATGGCGATAGTTGCGGCAAGGGAATAAGATCTGATGATGAAGAAGATAAGGATGTCAAAAATTTCAAATTTATTAATTGCAAATATACATTACTTAATATTGCATCCATCAATATTTGTGCTTATGTATAACATGAAAAATCATAAAGGATAATTTAGAAAGAAACTATAACTAAAATAAATTGTGAACACTGAGAAGAAGTTACTCCTGTGACATCAATTTTAAACATGGGTGAGAACATACAAAGTAGGTTATACAGACTGTTACAAATTCGCTTGCATCAGGGGACCTACATTATACTTCTAAAAAGGCAAGGCTAACATTATTAGTTTTCGAAATATTAGAAAAAAAAAAACGAAATTTTAGAAATCCGTTTTTGTTTCATTTCAGCCTTGTTGAGGCAGTACAGTGTTGAGGGTCATGAAGACTTGCAAAAAATGTAATCAAATTTCCAGGCTCGTATGTAAAAAATGAAGTTAATGACGATCACCTCAAACAAGCCTGATATGAAGCAAAAATGGATTTCCAAAATTTCGGTTTTTTTTCGAATATTTCGAACGCTAATCATGTTAGCCTTGATTTTTTAAAGGCATAATGTTGGTACCCTGATTATGTAACTTTGCCCCCATTTAAGCTAGTTTGTATCTCTTACAGTTTCCGAGATTCCTGTAGTGGGAAGTGAATTTGTAACAGCCTGTATATATATTCCTAGTATTTTATGAAAAAAAGATCACAGTAACATATGCCCAAGAATGTCACTTTTACATTATACAGGGCGTTTTGGTTTCCTCTTTATATCTCAATAATGGAATATAATTCATTTTCTCTAGTTTTGAACTATTAGATTGCCTATTAGAGGGCATCCAATTATTTTTTAAAATAATATGCACTCCCCTGTCATTTTTAATTAAATGAAAATTTTTTGTAATCCTCTTTATTAAATGATGTAAGATGTCATACAATTCTGAAAATACTATTTTATTAGAACTAATAGAGTAAGGCATGATAAAGAAATCAGTATTTTTCTCCAGAATTAAACCCTAAATTAAAAACACTCACAATACTAAAAATATACATTGGCGTGCATATTATTTTTAAAATAGTAGCCTACGAGCACTCCCCTGGTTTTTGGACGTAATGTTACTCTAAATATTTTGTCATAAAATAATTTGAAGAATTGCTCTCTCAAATATTTTAGAATACACAGGAAATACCTTGTCCAGTAACTGTTAATGTCCAGTCATATAAATCATTGCTTTTTATCTACTGACAGAGAGCAACCTATTAATCTGTAGGTACTATGAAAGTATGACTAGGTGAAATAAACATTTTACTTATGATATCGAAATCGGTCTATCTGATGGTTCTTCCAATGAATGATCTTAGTTGTTTATTAAATATTGCGGGTGTAATACAATGCTAGACCGGGCTGTAGTCCTCAGAGCAGTTGCCTTCCACAATATTATTAATTAAAAACAATAATTTTACTTTCAGTCCCTGAAGGAATATGCAAGCATCACAACAGTAATAAAAGCCAATACTGAATTATGGCATTGGATGTATACTTAAATGTTTGATATAATGCGGTAGAAAGATCCTTCCAAAATGACATTTCAGGGGGAAAGTGAGTTTCATTGCTTTAATAATAAAATAGAGCTAAATCAATAAGTTCAATGGTATCGTAAAAGCAATATTTAATACGAAAGGATAAACTTGTTTAACAGTGTATTTCTATAGGTACCTAAAACTTCCCATAAAAACCTTTAATAAGATCGTGCTAAGGTAGTATTTGTATAAACGTCGCTGAAATTGTCTCGTACAGTGTGTTTGACTGATTTCTAGCTTTCAATAAACGTTAACATCCATTAATAAGTACCCAAGGGACATACGTTAATCTAAATCACGTTTACTAGATATCTAAAGCGGTCTAAGAAAGAAATTTGACTATTTTTAGATCATCTAAAGTATACTTATCTTGAAGAATACCTCTATAAACTTACTTATCAGTTCAAAATTCATCATTATTGGGAAAATGCTTACCAAAGTACAAAAAATACGAATTATTGTTATTATTGTTTGTTATCCCGTGTACATAGCCACCCAATATTAGGTTATGATTGTTCAAAAGAAAGTAAGTATATACGTCAGGAATAAAGTATCTTTAAAGTTATTGGTAGTTAATATATACCTACAAACTTTTTTTAGAAACATACATAATTGATTTATGTAGATACCAGGACCATTTCTACAATTTATTGTGAAAAAGACACCCTATACATAGAATTAATATATAAAACATGCTATGCGTTTAGTTGTATATAAAATATTCGAAGACGAAACCGTAAATAAATGATATATGTTTTATTTACATTAGCATGTTATTTGTGTCTTTTTAATCATAAATTGCCAATAATACTTTGGTTCAGAATAATTGTCACTAGTATCTTTTACCGAACGGTTTTCTTTTATAATTTAAATTCCATGAAACTATATATTATACCAATACCTCTTATTTCATTGAGATAATTATATATTTAATTTGTTTGAAATCTTAACATCACATAAAATAATACAATATTTATAATATGCAATTTTCAACAATAAATTAATAATATAAGCAATATATTTCGTTCGCAGCTTTAGCTATCTCTTGATATAAACCCTTGTATTCCTTTCTTCGTTTAACTTCGCCAAAGTTTAACATATCGCTAGTCTTGTGCTTTTCTCCAGGCGCCTAACAGAGTCATTTTCGATAAGTTTTCAGGTACTTAAATATAAGTGTGTCGAAGTGAGCATATGATGTTGTCAATCTTAGTTATAAAATAAGGAGAATATTTTAAAACATTTTTTGCTTTACGCTTAGATTAAATATTTAGAACTTCATTTAGCTTCATAGAAGTTCATTTTATTTTGTGGTCTACTTCGACAATCTATTATGCTCACATCATGCTTTGACTAGGAAAAGTACCTCTCTAGCTTTGATCCGCTTGTCCATGGACTCTGCATAGTCCTCCAAAATGCGCTCCTGGAGTCTCTGCATGTAAGTTCGGTCCGTCAAACTCACCAAATTGGAGCCCATAAGTTTTTCCAGACGGGACCTCGTCTGTGGATGGCTGAATCTAGAAACAGCAGAGAAATAAATCATTTGTTATTATTTTAAATCAATTGACGAAGTTAATTGTTTTGAAACATGACATTTTTCATAGCTACATAGCTTTATGTTAAGTATGAGTAAATAGCTATGTTAGTTACGCTCGCTACGGTCTCTATGTACGTTAAAGACAGCAGTATTAGCTTGTTTACTTTCTTGCGAAATAAAAACGGTGTTTTAAGAGGAAAAAAGGAAAAAGAAGAGAAGAGAGAAGAGGAGGACAGGAGGGAAGAGAAGAGAAGAATAATGCATTATGATAAGAATAATAATGAACTCTTTTATCATGGTTTTTATCACCCGAATAATTTCTAACTAATTTATAAAATGTATTGTATTTTATTGAATATTAAAGACCTTGATTGTCCACTTGAGTCCACCGATACTTTTATAGGTAAAATTAGATATCATTGGGAGATAAAAACCAATATAAAAGTGCATTATTCTTTAGTGCATCAGATATGAATTAAAAATATTTATTGTATCTCTATCAAAATTGCTTTCATATCATCTTCAGTGACTATCTTTAATTTACATAGTGTGGAATTTCGCCTTACTACTTTGAAATGCGATTGCAGAGAAATAAATAATCAGAGGAAATATCCATCATTTCTAACTTATAATTAATCGCATTATTTTCAATTTATAGGTCCATAGAGCATATATTAGCTAGATTCAATATAGGTATTCTCGTCTGTTCAAACAAAACCGTCAGTGCCGAGATTGGTAATATATGGCCAATAAAATTAATTGTTCTGCTTATCGCACTAACAGGTGCTGAAAAATTCCGAACGTTTTTTATTCGGTTAACCTCGATTCCAATATCAGAAATACAATTTGTGGAAAACCGTTATTAGGTAATTGAAAATCCCAGTTTTACAAATTTGTCTTGGTGCATTGGAGTATCTATCTGTCCTATTAGAAAAGAATGATAGGATAAGTTAATATTTAAATTTCTGTTTCAGTAAATCGTTTCTTTGAAAAAAATACAGGATACAGGAAAAATATCATAACCATAAAATTCTAGATTTTTTCAAATTTTCACAGAGTATTATACGCAATTTTAATACAATGGGCCATTTTCCAACTTGTTAACTGTATCACAAAATGAAATTAGTTTAAAAATATAGGAACTGTATTTTTTATTTAAAATATTTTAGCGGTGGCAAGACGTATGCATCAGCATACGAATTAGAAATTCCGTCAATGTTGCCAGATTAATTAACTCAGGCATAAATAATAAGGTTAATAGCTAGAACCTATAATATCTAATTGCAAATTAAAAATAACACAAAATTACTACATATTATAAAAAATATTATCAATATTTCATTAGATAAATACATAATTTTAGTGATTCTTGGTTACTGTCATCATGCCTATTCTTTTGAATTCGCTTAATACCTACAAACCAACGTAAACGTAATACGCGACATGAAACTGTTATAAAGAATATGTAGTCTCATATCTCCCAACGAAAAATAATTTACCATTTAGTGACTAAAAAAGGAAGTGAAAGTAAACCTAGAAGAAGATTTTATTGCTTCAAGTATTCGTCAAAAGCCCCTATCCAATGTTTCATTTTACTTATTATCGGAAACAAATATTTCAAATTAGTATCATTACTTACTTGGTACCGACTGCAGTATGCTCAAGAAGCAAATCCAAGTTGAAGTTAGGTATGGATTATATCGATTTATAAAATAAAAATATGTATACAGGGTGTTTCATAATTGGATGTCAATATTGAAGGGTGTTAATCTGTGCGTGATTTTAAGACAAAAAGTTCATATAAACATAGGTCCGTTTTCGCTTTATTTTTGATATACAGGGTGATTAATATCTGTTTGTAAAATTGTTTTTTTTTTTTAATAACTCCGAAACTAAATTAGATAGTTTTATAAAACTTAGTATGTGTAAACTAGGTGCAGAGACACGTCTTTTGCATAATAAACGAATTTTCATTTTTAACCAGTGGCGTCCCAATTAACTTCAACCTCATTATTTTGAATGAAAAAAATGATACGCCACTGCATTTTTGAAAAACAAAAATTATTGTATAAATGGTGCTTTATTTTGTAATAAAAAAGATCTCTTGAGTTTTTTTCTTATCTTGCACTGTTTTTTAGTAAAAAAATAAAGAACAACATACTAACCCACATTGAGCCAAACAGAAAGCATGATATAAAGATTACCTAGTAGGCTGTGGTTGTTGATTACTGTTGTGATTTATTAATTTTGACAGTTCAGTTCATTCAACTCAATTTTGATACTTAAAATACCTGTACAGTGTTATTTGATAATGGTTGAGTTTACTAATCAAGAGTTGGCAGACATTCATTACATGTATGGCTTGGCTGATGGCAGAGCGCCAGAGGCTAAACGATTATATCAAGAGCGTTTCCCGAATAGAGTCACACCAGATAGACGAACATTCTCAAACATACATAGAACGTTGGCTGAAACAGGTACTTTTAAGCCAAATAATCAATTAAAAGGTGCCCATCGGACTACTAGAACTCCAGAAGTTGAAGAAGCAGTTTTAAATTCAATTGATGAAAATCCTAATATTAGCACTAGACAAATTGGAAATAACTTGAATATCTCGCACATTCTAGTTTGGAGAATTCTTCACGATTTTCTGTTATACCCGTATCATATTCAACGGGTCCAAGCCTTACTTCCTCGAGATTTTCCTTTGCGAATCAACTTTTGTCAATGGTTTTTGGAGAAAATTGCGCAAAATCCCTTGTTTGACTGTGAAATAATGTTTACAGACGAAGCTAACTTCTCTAGAAACGCTATAAGAAATTTCCATAACAATCATGTTTGGGCCGAAGAAAACCCGCATGCAATTGTGAACTTTAACAATCAAGAACAATTTTCCGTGAATGTTTGGGTTGGAATTGTTGAAAATCACTTAATTGGACCTTTTTTTCTGCCACAAAGGCTAGACGGCCGTACATATCGTCGGTTTCTAGAGGAGGATTTGCCCGTATTACTTGAAGAAGTGCCACTTTTAACTAGAAATAGAATGTGGTTCATGCATGATGGTGCACCAGCTCATTTCCATCGAGAAGCAAGAGAATATTTAAATCGCACATTTCATGACCGATGGGTAGGCCGTGGTGGACCCCAACAATGGCCCCCCAGGTCCCCAGATTTGAATAGTGCGGACTTCTTCTTATGGGGGCATCTGAAAACTCTGGTTTACAACACTCCGGTTAACACTGTAGAAGACCTGAGGAATCGCATAAGAGCTTCCTGTGATGTAATAAGGAACACTGACAACATTTTTCAAAGAGTCCGCACTAATATGAGAAGAAGAGCTGAAGCATGTATCCTTGCAGGTGGAGGGCATTTTCAACAACTGATGTAATTGTTTGTTTTTTTCGTTTCACAAAATTGTTATTTGTTGATCGTCAATCGTAATTATTAATAATATTATACAATAATGTGTATAAGTTATCTAGTAAAAGAATTATTTCCATAAAATGTGTAAAAAGTACTTCATTCCACGTACAGATAATTATTGTTGTTCTTTATTTTTTTACTAAAAAACAGTGCAAGATAAGAAAAAAACTCAAGAGATCTTTTTTATTACAAAATAAAGCACCATTTATACAATAATTTTTGTTTTTCAAAAATGCAGTGGCGTATCATTTTTTTCATTCAAAATAATGAGGTTGAAGTTAATTGGGACGCCACTGGTTAAAAATGAAAATTCGTTTATTATGCAAAAGACGTGTCTCTGCACCTAGTTTACACATACTAAGTTTTATAAAACTATCTAATTTAGTTTCGGAGTTATTAAAAAAAAAAAATTTTACAAACAGATATTCATCACCCTGTATATCAAAAATAAAGCGAAAACGGACCTATGTTTATATGAACTTTTTGTCTTAAAATCACGCACAGATTAACACCCTTCAATATTGACATCCAATTATGAAACACCCTGTATAATAGATACCTACCTTCTATTTTAAGTTACGTCTATTTTTACATTAATATCTACGAAAGTAGCCCAATTCTTTTAAAAATCAATAGACCATCAAGCTTATAAAATAAAAGTTAAATCAGCAACTCCTTTCAAATAACGACCACAATGTTTTGGAAGTTACTATTCAACGGCGCTTTGTTTGGTACGGTGTAATTTCTTATAGGCGTGCCTGCCCAAGATTTAAGTCAAATAAAATGGCCAACAAAAGCTTCTACGCCCACTTATCCCGGCAGACGTGGAAACGTTTTTCTTGTCAGACACTCTCTTTAAAGGTGAGACGTGTTGATGAAAATATTCCCGAGAATGTTGACGCGGTGTAAATATAACCTTTGAATTTATATTAGGCGTAGCTAAATGTAATAATAACTTCGTACATTTGCCGTCTTTATTGCAGTAAAACTTTATAGAATATTTTTTTATATAAATACAGGGTGTTTAGAAAAAAATGTTCAATACATTCAGGGGCTGATAGAATAGTACAAACACGACGATTTTTTCTTGTGGTGCTGGGTCTAGTGTCTTGTTTTTGAGACACCAGACCTCCAAAATTATTTTTTAGTAAAAAATTTTGATCTCAGCTTTGTCAAAAAGCAACTCACTTTTTGAGAATACTAAATATGTTCATGTTGTTAGTTTTCGACTACCTTGTAGAGATCGCTAGCTGCAATAATTCCCAGCGCTATTTTGTAAAGTTACTTTTTCGAAGTTAGGTTGTCTACATTGTATGTCAGTTATTAGGTAATTATAATTTAAAAAAGGTACTCTCCTGGTTAGCTATAAATTCATCTAATATGTTTCTAAAAGCTTACGTTCACTTACATCCTATTAAAGCAGAGATAAATAAACCTTACTATTTTTTTGTTCAATAAATTATTATTTAGAAAACGACTTCATAAGGAACTTGCAGTGCAGGAGGAACAGTTCGTGTACAATCAATAAAATCGACATTTTTTATAGTGTTGAAAGAG